TAAATCTCATTGTAAGTGTCTATTGGGTTTTTTGGATATTCTATTTAATCTTTCTTTTAACTTTTGTAATATGTGTTTTTATGTTGTACGCCGCCTTGAGTCCTTTGGGAGAAGGTTGGCATATAAGTCCAATAAACCTAAACCTGTTCCCAGTGCGCACATGTGCAGAGCTGCCAGAAGGCGAGAACAGTTAAGACAAAAGGGATGACTCGGGAGTAAGGCTTAGAGATGAGTGATCCTTCCCATAAGACAGAAAGGAGGAACAAAGGCACGTGAGCCTTTGCAGGAAGCAACTTTTTTTGTTCTGGTCGTTTAAATTCTGAAGCTCCATTTTGACTCTGCTCTGTGTGGCCTTGCCAAGCTAATTGCCAATTAGGTCTTTGGCAGTCTTTCAAGGGAGATAAAGAGGGGTGCTTATCAGCCTTATCCTGAAGGGTTGTGGCAGGCTTCTAGCGGACTCTTTACAAACTATTTGTGACTCATTACGGGCTGTGCATGAACATAATTCACAGCCTTTGAAACAAAGAGGGTTTTGGGAGCTAAGCCTGTGCTTTTTACTGTCTCAGGAAGCCTAGGTCAGTAACCTAGTTGCGGGACCGAGTGCTTCCAACCACCCAAGGCCTCTCCTGATCCACTGAGATACGTATCTCATGCTTCCCCTCCCTCATTCTGCCCCACTGGGTCTCTACAGGCACTGGGAGACCTTTTGAAGATCTGGATCAGAGGTGGGTTGCAGGCAGTACGCCCTCCTGCTCAAGCTCCTTACCTGTCCTTTAACTTCTTCGGCGCTTCCGCGCATGGCACGTACAGTGCCTGCGCAACACTCTGCTGAGCAGCTGGAGCATCGCTGGACAGTACGACACATGACCGGCCGTGGGCGTCCATCTGGACGTCGCCAAGCCCGTTCCAACCATACCAGTTGGACCAGGATCCGGAACCCACCACTGATCTGGATGATCAAGTAAGCTGTCGCCTCTCTGCCATGGTTTCTTTGTCTACGAGATTGCTCATTTGAAGCCTTCTATCCCTTTGAAAATAGCAATAGCAGTTAGACTTATATACCACTTCATAGGGCTTTCAGCCCTCTCTAAGCGGTTTACAGACTCAGCATATCGCCCCCACAGTCTGGGTCCTCATTTCACCCACTTTGGAAAGATGGAAGGCTGAGTCAACCTTAAGCCGGTGAGATTAGAACTGCTGAACTGGAGATAACAGTCAGCTGAAGTGGCCTGCAGTACTGCACCCTAACCACTGTGCCACCTCGGCTCTTGCACAGCAGTCTTGGTGAGTCAGCCAGGCTGAGCAGGGCACACTCATCCTACCCAGCCTCTGCTCTCACCACTCTGTTTTCGGAGTACCAGGAGCAGGCAAAGAAATCACACTGCCATGCAAACCCCACAGCAGAGAGGCTGGTGAGGAAACAGCTTGCTTGAGGAGAGAGGAATGGTCAGCCTGTTCCGGAACCCTGGATCTTTGAAAGGTAACTGAGCCTTTGGTGTGGGGAGGAGCCAGTGGGCTATTATAGCAGGGCCAGTGCCTGTTAGATCCCTGTGGGTGGTGGGAATAGGCAGGGGGAATGTTGCAGTGTCTCTTCAGTCAGTTATAAAAGTGAACAACTGCCGTGGTGCTGCAACATGCATAAATTCAGGACTCTGTCATAAGTACTTTTGGAAGGATGTCGTAACTTTGAACTGTAGCTAAGTGAACTGTTGTAATTTACAACCTCAACGTTCGACCACAATTGAGCCCAAAATTTCTATTACTAAGTAAGACAAGTGAGTTTTGCCTTATTTTACCACTTTTCTTGCCACAGTTGTCAAGAGCCGAGTGGCACAGTGGTTAGGGTGCAGTACTGCAGGCCACTTCAGCTGACTGTTATCTGCAGTTCAGCGGTTCTAATCTCACCGGCTCAAGGTTGACT